TATATATATATATATGCGCGCTAAACTATAATTTAGATTAGTAAATATGGCAAATTACTATAAGATGATATCTTATAGAAGATGCAACAATGTAACATATGAAGCACGAGCATGTAAACTATTAAATTAATGTCATTTGAGTTGATTAATTTGGCAATCACATATTTTATCATATAAGCATGCACTCCACGTCATCATGCATGTCATCCTGCCAAATTGTCACGACCTTAGTTGGAATTGCCTAAGGCGTGAGGCACCCTTGCGGCCAAAGACGCGAACTTAGCTTGCGTTGCCTAAGTCGCGAGTCACCCTTGTGGCAAAGGATGCGAACTTAGCTTGCGTTGCCTAAGTCACTCTTCGCCCGTGCGATCTTGCTCCGCAAGGATCAGCCCACTTTGTAACCTCTCGCAGGTCCCGAAGGACCTGTAAAAGAGAAAGAAGTTAGTTCGAAAGAACGAGCAACGGACAAGTCCCGAAGTCTCGCGAAAAGGGAAGCTTTACAAGCAATTCGTCGAACACATTGTGTGCACAAGAGAAAAGAGGGAGAGAGAGAAAAACAAGGCTTTCAAGGATGAATGAACAGCTGCAAGCCCACAAACAGCCGCTCACCTGGTCCCGGGCGCAAAGACAAGTTCCTGTAAAGGTCACGTGCGAACTTGCGAAAGATATCTCAACGCCCGGTATATAACCGAAGCCCCATCCAGCCCTGTGCCACCCGGGGGGTTCCTGGGGTCTGAGATGGCTGACATTTTGGTGAGCGGAGGCAGTTCTTCGCTCACCTCCCGCGACACGCGAAAACGGGGCTGTTTTTGCTCGGTTCGGTGAACGGTCGCTTTGCAACGCTGCAGCTTGTTCAAACTTACATATTTACAAGCAAAATGACCCAAAACCAAGAGAAAACATGCTGCCAAGTAGCTGTACATGCAGGTGTGAGCGACGAATGGTTCGTTGAACGGAGTTGTTGCGGGTGCGCGACGACCGTTCGTGACATTCTCCCCCACTTAAACTGTCGACGCCCTCGTCGACGCTTGTTGGTAGTTGTTAATGACTTCTTCTTCATGTCGCAGGGCGTCTTCAGGCTCCCAACTGGCTTCAGTTCGGGGAAGCTTTCGCCACTTCACCAAGTACTCTATTTGCTCAGCTCCGTTGGGTAGCTTTATCTTGCGATCCGCCAGAATGGTTTCCACTCGCTTCTCGTAGGAGGCTGTGATGGGAGGTAGCCGAGTTGGAACACTTCGGGAAGAATCTTGCGGATCCGAGTGGTAGGCTTTTAGGTTGCTGGCGTGAAGAACGTTGTGAATTTTGAACCACGCCGGCAGTTGCAACTTGTAAGAAACATTGCCTACCCTGCTGATAATTGGGAAGGGCCCTTCATACTTACGCACCAATCCTTTGTGGACTCTTTTCCTGAAGAATTGGAGTGATGCTGGTTGGAGCTTTACCAACACCAAATCGCCAACTTTGAACTCTTGTGGTCGCCTTCCCAAGTCTGCCCACTTCTTCATCCGTTTTGCCGCCTTCTCCAAGTAAGCCCGCGCAATATCTGCATTTCGATGCCACTCCTTTGCGAAATGATAGGTTGATGGACTACTCCCAGTATACCCAATTGCCATAGTGTGCGGAGTCGACGGTTGTTGTCCTGTGATAATTTCGAAGGGGCTCTTGTTGGATGCAGAGCTCCGCTACAAGTTGTAGGAGAATTGGGCGATGTCCAACAGCTTCACCTAATCTCGTTGATTGGCACTCACGTAGTGCCGGAGATAATGCTCCAAGAGCGAATTTATTCTTTCAGTCTGGCCATCCGTCTGGGGGTGGAGGCTTGTAGAGAAGTATAACTTTGACCCCAACAATTTGAATAGCTCGGTCCAGAATCGTCCCAGGAACCGAGCGTCTCGATCACTAATGATATTGTGTGGGACTCCCCAATACTTCACTACATCCTTCATCATCAGTTTGGCCGCCTCTTCAGCTGAACAATGTAGGGGAGCAGCAATGAAAGTTGCATACTTTGAAAACCGATCGACCACCACGAGTATCGATCCAAGTCCCCCTACAGGTGGCAAGCTTGATATGAAGTCTAAGGAAATGCTCTCCCACGGCCTTTCTGGTACGGGCAACGGCTCCAAAAGTCCCATCGGCTTCCGCTGCTCCACCTTGTCTTGTTGGCAAGTAAGGCATGTTCGAACATATTCCTCCACGTCAATCCCCATCTTCGGCCAGTAGAAGGCCCTCTCCACGAGAGCCAACGTTTTGTGAATGCCTGGGTGTCCAGCCCAAAGGGAATCGTGACACTCTTTTAAGAGTTCACGCCTTAAATTGTCCACCCGGGGAACATAGACCCTATTCCCTTTTGTGTACACAAGTCCCTCCTGGATCCAAAATCATCGTGCCTTGCCTTCTTTGATGAG